ATATTGAAGAGAGAGAGGAAAGCGCTTCTTTCAAGAAAATTACTATATAAGGAAATTTTCAAGAAATCAGTGGTGAATGGGTGAGGGTTTTTTTTTTAAATATATTTTATATTATTTACTTTACTATTAATATTATTATATAAAAATTCTAATAATTCTTTTCAATTTTGTATTTAATTCTCAAGTTCATATTAAATTTAATAGGTGAAATATATTTTATAATTATTTTTAATAGTATTTCAAACTTAAGGATCTTAATAATTCTCTTTGATTCTGTATTCAATTCTTAAGTTTATATTAAATTTAATAATTAGAATATACTTTTCCATCATTTTTAATAGTGTTTTGAACCTCATGCGATTCCTTGCAATTCTATTTGATTCCAATTTTCAGAATCATATTCAAACCTTATATAATTTTATACAATTCTATTTGATTTCAATTTTTGAAATTATAATTAATAATAATATTAGCTTGTATAAACTATTGATATACAATATATGGTATTGAAAGTTAAATTCAATAAAAAATTTGACATAAAACATTCTTTCATCTCAAAAAACAACAATAATAAAATAATATTATAATACTATAGAATTTAACAATATAAAGATTGTTAATATAATAAAATTAAAAAATAATTTTTTCAATAATAATTTAATTTTTATTTTATTTTTTTCTTGTATATGTATAATTGTTATTGTTTTCTTTTAAAATTTCTACAAAAAGAATAATATAATCTGGATTTATAATACATAACTGCAGAGGTAATCTACAGGTTTTGACTTATTAAAAGGTTTGAATCTTAATTCTATACAATATAAAAGCAATACTTTATTTCACAATCATATCTAAAGATCTTGTACTGTTAACAAATGAGCTGAATTAAATAAATAAATATATTTATTTATGTAATAATTCAATATTATTTAATAAACATGCAACACCAGCCTATACTTTATAAATAAATATCTATTTTGTTTTTTTCAAATTAATAAAACCGTTTGACAATAAATTGTTGGCAAAAAATGCATTTTTGCATAAAAATAAATAGTTTTTATTATCTATGTTTACACACCTACATCATTAGGATCACTTCATCGAATGAAGGTCAAATAAACGTAAGACATCACAAAATTTGATAAACCATGTACAGGCTCCAAATGTTAATTTCAAACAATTTGCAAGACACGAACACGTGATTAAAATAATGATTTTATATTATCTATACTTATTATAATAAATATATTTACATATTAATTCATACAAACCCACATATCCCCTTATATATTTTCTATAACCACTGAAAATAATGTCCTACTTATTTATAATAGTTAATATGATAATTACAAATGCCCTTGAATAGTTGATGTCGAAAGCATGTTTCACGTATATATTTCACAAGACATGGATGTAATCAATAGCCGTTGGGGTAGTAAAGAACTTAGTATCTCGCCAAGAACAATAGTATCGAGAACCCATACAAAGTATAGATCATGTGACCTTACCAGGTTAACTTAGGATCGGTAGAAACTGGAAAACAAGTTTATAATAAATAAGTCTTTAAATTATTAATAACAAGATAATAGAAAATAATACTCACATTTCCTACGATAGCTAGTGGAATGTCAAAAATGTCGCGTTTAATGGTAAAACAGAAGGTACAGGGTACCGGAATCCCGCTGGGTCTTATTAAAATACAAGTAGTCATCACGGACTGTCTCGAGTTATCAAAGGCATGTGCTGCAAATTTCTCCCAATATTCTACCGCAGATTGATTATCCATAACCTAAATTTACTGCATGTCATTCCCCTGTAATAAAAAATCATAAGGAAAATTATACGTTCATACCTCATATATATATGTGGTTTTCCCAAGTAGCTGATCTTTGCTCCACTGCGTTAATAACGAGAATTCTTTACCCACTAAAGCAATCTCACCAGTTCGGCGCCAAACAACAGTAGGAGTTCCCGAGAAACTTATTAACTTCTCAAATTCCTTAACATAACAAAAAAAAAGAATAAGTTAGTGGAATGCAGCGATACATCATAATTATAAATACATATTGCAACCCACTAATATTGTTCTCTGGAAGCATTTCTCCATAAAGATCAAATCCTCTTCTGTCAAGTTCATTATAAGTGCAATAAATGATGGTCTAAATGTTGCTAATGCCCTAACAATTCGTTCTATATGCTCTTTATCCATTCTAATTATGTTTAAAAGGTTGAATTTTGTTAAAAGAACACAAATAATATTCTACAAAAAAAAAAAGAGCTTAATACTCACCTACTCTTAACCCAATTAACTAAATAATGAAATCCTTCTATGTATGAGAATGGCTTCTTGACATTCGCATAAACATTTTCAGGTGTGATCAGGTGTGATCTCTTTTTTCCTGAAGTTTCTCTTCGTTGATTGGAATTATCACCATTAACTCCAGATGTTGCGACGACAGGGCTCGTACGTGGTAAAGGATGTTGCTGCCAGCTTTGATCAATCATTCCTATATCCGCAAATCCAGAATGTTGACCTAATGATTCTGTAGAAGCCGAGGATAACATATTGCTTAAGATTGAATATTCTAGATTCACTGCTTCTGAACCAAAACCATAATTGCCAGTTGCGGGAGGGTACCCCCCATGCCCAAACAATGTATTGGGATCTATAATGTTATCATTAAAAATTTAAAAAGATTAATGGTCCAAGTCACATCACAACGTACCCTCGCCGCAAAGGCATTAATCCTAAATTTAATTTCAATTTACATGCTAGAAATGGGATATAAGTGGTATTTAAGATGACATTATGTCTATATGCCTATATATCTAAACTACGCGTCAGCTTTGACTATTTTAAGAGTAAATTAACGAAACACTTACTCGGGGCGGATGAAAATCCATTATGCATGTAAACCGTTTGATTCGTTTGCGGTGAAACTATACATACATAATTCGTGGATGTTACGGTTGGAGATATTTCAATTTTTGATCAAGTCAAAAGTGGTTGCATTATTAAATATTAGAATCAGAAAATTGATCCTTATTTTCCATTATAGATATCATTGTTATTAATAAAGCTTGAATATAGACAGGCGAAAAGATATTTGACCAATTATTCACGTACAACATTAGTTCCATTATCGGTCAGGATAGGAAAAAAATGCCAAATACGGAATTGTTGGAGAATCCGTTGAAGTAAGGAGACCATTGTGTTTGACAATCAGATTCATTATAATAAAATTTGATGATCAGTTATTTTAGAGAGTATAGGTTAGTAAAAGCGAATTTCTGTTAATATGACGATTTGCAAAATTTTTACATTAAACTAATCGACGAACATTGGTTTTTCTAACTAAATACTTTTGATCTTAGAAAAAAAATACCAAATGAAAATCAACTCAAATTTTTGCGGAAAATGATTTATTTTTCGCGCACCATCATAATTCGAATCTTGCAAGTATTTTGCTTTTTTGCGAATACCGTCGGTACATGAAGCTGCTAGATCTCTCTTGATACATCGCTGACAAGGCCTGGCTATCAATAGTAAAGCGTAAAAATAAGTATAAGCTACTCCTGAATTTAACCAGCGATTATACGTTTTTTCGAAGACTCACAATCGTCACATGTCAAGTGCGCCTTCTGGCAATGAAAGCACGCTCTCGTGGCCTTCTTTCTTCGTACAGATCCATTGTCATTGTGATCAGAGCTTGAAGTTTGCGTACTTTCTGACATGGCAGTCTTCTTCGCTTTTTGTAAATTTGATTCCGTATGTTAGGTCCCTACAAAAGAAAAATTAATTCAATGATCCACATTAGTAATAGTTTTAATATTTACATCATACGTTTTTTATTTATAAAATATCGTCAAGTTGTGTAATGTATTATTCCTAAACACAGAATAACAAAAAAAATATATTCACTGTATATATGCATGTTTTTTAAATATATTAAAATACCAATATATTTGTTTTTTCATAATATATAAATATTAATCTAAAAATATCTTTTTAAATAAAAAAAAATTATATATATTTTTTCTATAATTAAACAAGTATTATACTTATTTTAGACAAATGTTTCTAAGTATAATTTTGAAAATATTAGAAAATTATAATTTATAGATTATTAAACAAAATATACAAATATATTTTATTTTATTAAATAATTTGTATTTAATATAAATATATTAAGATTCATTTAAGTTAATCTGTTCTTTATATCTATAAAATTATTTAGTTATATTAATTTTAAATTATTTTATAATATGGTTATATACAGTATATTAAAAACTTTTTTTTAATTATATTTGTTTTGTTAAAAAAAATTTTTTTTATAATAATTTTAAGTAAAAAAAAATGTTTTACATTCTTTATTGCAAGTAAATTTTAGTTCAAAAATCCAAAAACCTTTAAAACAACTGATATAATAAAATAAAATCTCTAATTGAAGTCTATTTAAATTTGAAAGTCTTGTTTATCCTTTAGTTACATAAAAAAAGACCTATAACAATTTTCTATTCTTTTATTCTCTTATATTCTTCTTTATTCTTATTTTATTATAAAAACTATTTATATTATCATTATTATACTTGTTAAATCAAATATTTTCCAAAATACATATTTAAATAAAGTTAATGAGTTTAATGTTTATTTCAAATCAACTTTTAAATTTAACTATATCATAGTAATACTTGCTATACTATTTTAAATTTTTCAATATTTTTATCTAATCAAAAAATTAAAATTAGTTTACCCCTTCTAAATAATCGGTGTTCTTTAATAATCCAATTAGATTTTACTTAAAAATTAAAACAAAAATTAAATTTGTTTAATTAATTTTGTATTATAATAATAATAATATCAATTATATTACTATTAACAATTATAATAATAAACAATATTATATATACTCTATTATCTATAGTAATCAAAAAGCTAGAAAGATAATAAATCTGTCTAAGGAAATTTGAAAGGAAATAATTGATTTTTTACTTATAAATTTTATAGTTTGCTTTATTTAATTTTAGTTTTGATTATATTTATTTTTTTTTCTTAACTTACTTATAAATTTAAGTATAATCACTATTTAGATACAACTATATAGTATTGTTTTGAATTTCTTTTTTAATATTAATTAGATATATAGTATATATATAAGCAAACTAGTATTTAATCTACTATTTTATTTATTTTTTTTTTGAAAAAGTGGGCGGCTCCTCGCATGTATTTTTATTATAAATTTTAGACTTGTAACAAGGCAAGATTTTATATTAAGTACGTGGTATATGTCTCCCTTGTTAGGAAGGGTTTAACGCAAGGCCTATCATAA